TGACCAAAATATAGAATAGATTGAAGGTAAAAAATTACTTCGATAACATTAGTGAGAATAAGAAAATAAGAAGGAAAGAATTTTGGGAATCATAACTATTTGATAAATTTCATTTGGAGGCAGCCTGAATGGAACAATTAAACCTCCTGGTTGGCAAAAATCAAGGAGAAAAAATCGTATGTAGAAAAGATTGTGGCTCAGGAATAAATTTCACCTCGTGTTGACGCCTTGAATTAGATAAATAAGTTTTATCAAGGTAGCTCTTCAAGACATATCGCCTACATTAAAAGTAAAATGCAAATACAACAGCAACGAATTTGAGTCCTTTTGCTTGTTTAGCAAATGAGGAATGCACAATATATAGAAAGAGAAAGTATCACTCTAGAATTATCACGAATTACCTGGAAAGTCTCGAGAAGAACGACGAGTCGACAGAACTGAGGCGCAGTCAGCCTGTCAAGTAGACCTTCGGACGGTTGGTCGATTGATGACTGAGAGGAGTTTATCCTAAGTCTTGAATCATCACCGACACTTGGAGCACCGGAGTCGATCCTAGCAGATAAGAAAGTAGGCGAACTACTTCTCAAGCCATCTATGCGAGTGGTGCGACTAGCATCACCATCATTACTGATACCAGGAGAGGCTGTAATGGTAGCAGTGGTATTGGTGGCCAGACCGGCAGCACATGAAATCGTCGAGAAGATCGGTTCACAAGGGGTGCAAGACGAGAGGGTAGCAGATGTACAGGTGAAAGCACTCCCAACCGACCCAGAGCCAGACGCAGGAGCAGCAGAATTGAACATCCGGCAAATGGGAGTAGGCGCGATGTGGGAACAGAGCCCAGCGGAACCGAAAGAAGCAAGGGGGCTAATTGAAACTGAGCCAGATGGAAGTGATGAAGCACGGACGGCTCGAGAGGAGACCAACTTCTCGATGCGTCGTTGTGACACGTTGGCTGCCTCCCAAAGAACACAGCAGAGTTGTTCACGCACCAACGTGGAGAATTCACAACCTCCGGAGAGAGAAGTAGAGCCAGGGGAGCAAGACTCGAGGCCCAAAACAGAACCAGAAGTCGGCTTAAAACAAGATCCCACAATAGGATCTAGTTTACGTGAGTCAAAGACGTCGGAGGACGAGTTTGCCATGTAGGCTACCACTGCTTCGTGTAAAATTAGTATGGCAGACTACAAAAGAATACAAAAAAGGTAAAGTATGAAGACCAAGATAGTGTGACCTTTAGTATGTCTGAGGTCTCCTTTCGCTGTACATAAGTTATTTGGCCTTGTTTTCACAACGTGGTCATATCAGCAGGAGGACCCAGATGAACGTACCTTGACCGGAGTACAGAGAATGCTTGATAATTTCTAGTCGGACCATGGACTTGGTTATTTTCTCAGACGTTTCGCTGGCATAGCCATTGAGTCTTGCCATTGTAGGCACCCCACCACAACGCGTCAAGTGAAATCGACCCTTTGACCAATTGTCCACTGAGCACTTGTGGTATCTATCCTTCTGTTCCGGGGAATTCACCTCTGCAGTATCAATATTGCTTACTGTTTATCTAAGCCTAGTTGAGATGTGCCCTTTTGACCGGATTTAGTGACCGAATTTAGACCTATTCACACTCTCCGCTGATTCCCTCATCCCCCCAATGTGAATAAGTCTCGCTAAATCCGCTCAAAAGAATATACCTCAACTAGGCTTAGAGAAGCAAGTAAGAAATTGTTATAATGAATTTGAGTTACGAGGATATCGGATAGGCGAATACACCAGGACAAGAGAGATACTATAATTCACGTTAACACTCGGACAAGAAGACTATCCTACTCTATACTACCTCTTATATAGACTCACAACAAAAAACGAAAAAAAATAGGTATAGATAGATATATGATGGTTTGACAGGACAAATATGAAAACTAATTATCTAAACCATCCTATATTTATATACGCCTATTCATTTTCGTTTTTAGTTGTGAGTCTATATAAGAGTTAAGATAGAGTCGGATAGTCTTCTTGACCTAGTGTTAACGTGAGACTTACAAGAATGAGTTCCAGCTCAGATGATGTCCATCATATGATGGGCGAAAGCTCAGACCGTTTTCCCCCGAAACGAGGGAGTATGTATTGCGGACTGCGTCAACCTAAACGTCGTATTATAGCCAGACGACTTCAGTAAAACGTTGTCTTCCGATGAGATCAACCCACGAATCCCTTCTTCATGCACTTTTATGCAAAATGAAGGGCTCTCCAACAAAGTCAAACAACTTCAATAAAAAAGAACGTTGTGAACCCCATGTGTTGGCAAAATCCTCACTAATAATATCAGCAGAGAAGCAAGAACAAATCTAAGGCTTTCTGAGTATAGAAATAGTTAGAACTCATTTTTCGCAACTTGCTTTTATTGACCGGATGACTTAGTTAGACGCATCTCATTTAAAGTTCTTTGTTATAGTAGTTAACATAATTCCAAATATTGGACCTAGGACTTTATACAATCAGAGATTTCACCACTGCAATGTCATGGATCGAGTCCCGCTGGGGGTGTTGAAAAGGCCTAGGTGAGGTCGAAACTGAAGACCAACCTGGATGAGAATACCTTTTTGAGAAAGCAGGGCTATTTCAACTTCAACGGAAACGTAAGATCTACTCATATAATTGAGGGAAAATTCAAATAACAGTCCCCTTATCACCCAAAACGAAATCGGATGAATACATTTGACATATACGATCTACCATAGTCTCGAAAGCTTACTTATAAATGTAAAAAATGTTGAGCCCTATGTTGTAGCAAAAACTTTAGTAATGAGAGTAGTAGAGCAAGAAAAAATCTAAGGCTTTTTGTATATAGAAGTAGTCTGACCTCATTTTTGCAGCTTGATAGTTTTGTCAATGCGACATTGTTGGACGCATCTTGTTTGAAGTCCTCTACTATAGTAGTTGCTATAATTCCCAGAATAGGACCTTGGACTTGGTACGCTCACAGACGATTCGCCGACATCGTCAGTGAGTCTTGCCATGTTTCGAATCAAGCTACAACGCGTCAGTCGTAAAGTTGTTCAAAAGATTGACTTCACTTGTATCTTTGATGAGTTGCAGCATGATGCGGAGTTGCAAGACTCAATGACGATGCCGGAGAAACGTCTGAAAAGGTACTGAGTCTATGGTCCAACACTGGGAAATATGATGGGAACTATAACAAAGGAATTCGGACAAAGTGCATCCAACTAAAACATCCAAAAATGGTAAATTATTGCAATGTTAAGTTGACAATAGAGATGGAGGAGGACAATAATTTACCCTTTTTTGATATTTTAGTGATCAGAGCAGGCAAAAAGTTAGAGAGGGGTGTATTTAGAAGGCCCACACATGCTGACTTTATCCTTAATTTTTACTCCAACCAAAGTAACAAAACAAAGGTTAGCGTTTTAAAATCTATGATTATCAAGAGCATGAGATTAGCAGATAGAGACCATCGTGACAATGAACTGGATTGGCTCAAACTAATATTTCTTGAGAATAATTATCCGCTGGGTTTGATTGAAGAAAACATTAGACTAACAAAGAATACCTTTTTGAATGGTGAATATGTAAAGAGGGATAAGGGGACCTTTCTCATGTTTTGTCTTTGCCTTCGTGCATTCTCTCTTAGAGGATAGACAAACTAGTAAGAAAATTAGGAATAAAAACGATTTTTGTAGAAAATACGATAGTTTTTTCAGTTATGCTCAATTTTAGAGAAAGTTTACCCATTCTCAAAATCGGTTTACTAAAA